TTGAATTGAAATTTAATTGAATTGAATTTCCCGGAGTATTGGGGCTTAGTAGTGAATTGCACACAACAGTTTTGCATTTCACTTTTCTGTTAGACAAGGTTTAATTTAAAGGTTATTTATCCTAAATGTCCTTGTCACACTAGAGCACCAGCATCTCAGACCAAAACAATAGGACAGAAATAAAACTCACCAAAGCTGTCTTTGTTAGTCTTTCCAACAATCACCGACACTGGTTTGGTCACCAAGTTAGATGACAAAATATTTGTGAAAAGGGCTGCAATGGCCGCAACGTAAGCTAACGTTAATCCTTGGGGACAAAAGTAGTCTACAGAGATAGACTTTTTGTTTAACCAATAACAGCTGTCACTTTCCACCAGACCACATATGAGTAGTCTGATTGTTTCGTACAGGATGCGATGACCCAGTGTATGCAGAGTCGGGAGCATCAGTACATCTTTGAGCCAGTGTGTGCCTCTGTGTTGCTCAGAAGAAACGCCTCCAAGGAGCCTCTGAGGTCCCGAAACACCCCACGGATTGAAGGCCAAGTTCAGCTGGAGCCCATGTCCTTACGTCTGTCACAGGTCTGCATGTCAGTGGTAGTTGAATGAACAGGAAATATCTTTGAGGGTTTCAAGACACCACTCTGAAATTCTCACGTGTGGCTTTGGCAATTCACGCAAAATCTGGCAATGTCACTCCTTCCTGCAGGGTTGTGCTGAGGTGTAGTCAAGTTTATTTGTGCTTTAGAACGTAACCACTGTGAAACAATCAGAAAATAACTTTTTATTTCTTTGATTTGTGCTTTGTTCTCACTAACAGCTAACAGTGCTCCCTCACTTCAGTTACTCTCTACCTGGCTCAACCAGCGTCTGTGTCCCTCGAACTAGACCTTTAAATCAAATTTACAAACAGCAACTGACAAATCTTACTCATGTTGTCTTTACTTAACAAAAAAGACTAACCCATTCAATCTGATATTATTATTATTCAAATTGAGGATTTTGTTCGAGAATTTTTTTTATTTTTCTAGGGTGAGGATGTCATAATATGAAAACCCATATTAATGGCTTTCTCTTTGTTACATTCATTCCCAACACTGTTGTTTAGAATCTTTATTCACATACTCGGTTATGGGTTATTTGCAGCAGCCATATTCAAAGCAAAACTAAAGCTTTACACTGATTGACCCTTCCTAAGTCCTGCCACGTTTTGCCCTGTACACCAATAACAGTTGAGCAAGCCTCGGTCAGAACCTCAGACAGCTTTCTCCTTTCCTGTACCTAGAAATGCTGTGTGCTAGGCTAATCTATGTTGAAAAGACAACCACATCTGAGATGGTGAAAAGATAAAAGTGACATACATCGCATCTTAAGCTAGAAAATGTTAGCAAACTAACTAAGGGTTTGGGGCAGGGGTAGGGATAGGGTTAACTAAAGATTAATGTAAGCTAGTGCTTTGCTAACATTAGCTTTCATATCTAACTACCTAGCTAAGGATTTATGTAGATTAGCTATCTAGTTAGCTAGTCTTTTGCTCCACAATATGTTTTACCAGCCTTTATTTCTGTGTGTGCTGGACATGAAGAAATACATAACAGGCAATATAAGGAAACATGAAACCAACCAAGCCAGAATAGACAGGACAATGTGGAACTGATGAGACCTAACCAGAGCGTGCAGAGTGGTGACTGTGTGTGTTTATTGTCACTTAGGTCCAGTACCAGCAGATCATGGCGTTCCTTAAAGAGCTGGACCGCCGGGAAAGAGAGATGCTTTACCGAAAGTGGAGGCCCAAAGTCCCCATTTCTAAGAAGTTAGTTCACACTTAAAAGTTTGTTGTAGTCTGAGCAGTCAGTTGACTGTCTGACATTTGCAAAGTTCTTTGGACACAAAAAACTGATTCAGACTTAAACAGTAAAACTGCATTATCCAACAATTTTATTTTTCACACCAGTCTTTTAGCGCACTCCTAAGAGAATGCCACATTGCATTCAATACACATATTGTTTGTGTAATAAATCTTTGAATACTTGAATCAGACTTACAGTGTTTTTCCCTGTAGCTGCCGGCAGTGGTGGATGTATGCCATCTTGGCCAACCTGAGTGAAATCAGGGAGCAACGGCGGCGAGGCAGCTGGGACTTTGCCCTGCAGCGGGCACGAGACGCCCAGACCTACACCAGCCTCTACTTCAGAAGGCTCAAAGGAGTCACACTGAGTCCTCAGGAAGAGGTACTACGCAGAATCAATATCCCGTTTATTGAAAACCTCACTTTTAGCACTCGAAATCAAGGATGTTCCATTGTCCTGGGGTCAATACAAATAGCACCTGGGACACAAAGCAATATATAGCATATCATTCATTCATATCAAATTAATTGTTTTTCAAATGAAATGAAAATGTTAAGGTGACTTGGTGACTTTTTCAGACCCTCTTAGCAACTTTATTTTTAATAAATTGAGGGGGTCTCTCCTTCTACTCTTGGGCCAAGCACAGGCAGTCAGTGGGTGTGGCATATGGGGCACATTTATGCTTCTCTCTCATTCTTTCTCTCCAGATTTGTGTTCCTCCTATAGCTTGTAAATATTTGAATGGTTCGGTTGATCTTTTTCCTCCCTTTGTAGATACAAAAAAACATTTTCACTTCAAATATATGATTTCCCTGTTGTCAGTTTGTGATTATTTGGCTAAATTTCCGTCTACCAATCATAAACAGGTTTGCATTTGCACAAATTTACAGTGATGCATTTATCAAACGGTTAGAAATAAACAAGAAACAGTACCTCAAACAATTACTAAAAGAATAATGAAAACTTTTTGTAGCATTACTGAACTGTCTTGTCTTTATCACCTAGAGTGAGCTGGAGCGAGTGGAAGAGGAGCAGACGATAGAGGAGCTGCAGAGTCTCCAAGAAATTGTCCACGACTGGTTTCGAGAGCGTGAAGACATTGCAGAGGTAAACTTATATGATTCATACTGGTGTTCAGTGGTGTTTTAAATAAACATTCCAACATGTCAATGGTCTTTGTGGCCTTGGTGGGAAGAGAAAGCCCCTCTGCCTTGGGCCAAACTCCTGTTAACTGCACTTTGGTTTTAACAGTTTGTGACATAAAGATGTTCTCTCACAATCAATCATCAAACTTTCACTGATTTACTAAAGGTGTCTTTTCAATTCAATTCAATTCAATTCAATTTTATTTGTATAGCGCCAATTTCATAACAAAAGTTATCTCAGGACA